AACTCCAAACCCTCAGAAAGGCTTGTGTGGGTTGCTGTTAATCAAGTTACCATAAGAAGGAAACGCTAATGTTTATGGCATATCCATTCTCTTGCTTACTTTAGTGGTAATTTGCTTCAAGATCCTCATATCTAAGCCCTAAACCCCAAATGCTTACATCCGTAAATCCCTACACCCTTAATCCTAAATCCTCAACCTTAAACCCTAAACCCTAAACGCTAAACCCTAAGACAGAATCCTAGTTGTTGTCAAGCAGTCCTGCCTCAGGCCCAGAACCTGTTGGAGCATCCGCAAGATCCAAAGTGACCTTCCAAAGGGCTTGAGATACTGTGTTCCGGGTTTAGGTGGCCATATAGGGGTTGTATAGGGATAATGGAAAAGAAAATGGAAACTACTATCTAGGGTTTAGGGTTGAGATTCTGAGTTTAGGATTTAGGGTTTAGGGTTTGCCATAGCCCAATGGGATGCGATGTGACGTGTCTGCGCCACCTGTTTATCAGAGTTACCCTGATCCGAAGCCCTAGACCCTAAACCCCAAGCCGTAAACCCTAAATAGTAGTTTCCATTTTCTTTTCCATTATCATTCTATACCCCCCCCCAAAACATATATTCCCATGTATACCCCATATTACCCCTAAACCCTAAACCCTAAACCCTAAACTCTAAACTCTAAACCCTAAACTCCAAACCCTAAACTCTCACAGTTAGCCTGATCCGAAGCGATATCACCTGTTGTGTCTCGAGGAACTCGGGCTCGGTTGATATCGGCACTCATTACTGTTACTATTATTCTTATTATTATTACTACTATTATTGTTATTATTACTACTACTAGTATTATTACTATTATTATTATTATTATTGCTGTTATCACTTTTTTTTTTACTATTACTACTATTATTATTATCATTACTATTACTTTTGTTATTACTGTTTTTACGAATATTCTTATTATTGCTATTATTATTCCGGAGGTACATGTTGATATGGAAGGAGAACGTGGTGTTTGCCGAGGCACTTTGGATGTCGTAATGGTTGCTCTTCGTGACCCCCTTGGACGTCCTTTATCGAAGAAGCCTTAAACCCTGATCCTTATAGGCCCTGTAACCTCTGGATGCTCGCTTACAGCCTCCTGTCCTCGGCTCCAGAAGTCGTTGAACTCAGGACAATAGTAATAGTAGTGGTAGTGAGTGCGGCAAGGCGTTGGGGCCCCTGGACGCTGCCGGCAGTTCCGCCATGCCTGGCCCGCAGCAGCCAGCAGCCCTCTAGATTGGAGTGGACGCTGCATTGCGTTGGAGATCGTTGGATATTGGGTTTAAAGCGGTATCCATGGTGGGTTCAGCCTTGAAGAGGTCTCCACGGTATTTGCTCTGATCCACAGAGTGGACATAAGTGCTATCCGCAGTCCGTGAAAGAACATTGTCAGGGCTCGCTTTGTGACATTCTCCTCGCCTGTCTTGGGTGTGTCCTATCAGGGTGTAGGTGCTTTACTTTGAAAAGTTTAGAGTATTGGGTCAGAATACAATCGCAGCTCATGGACACCAATGTAGCCTAAACCCTCTAAACCCCCAGGCAATGCAAAGTATCCATTCCGTTTTCCATTTTTTGATTTGAGTTTGCAATGTCCCATATGTTTCTATATAGGCTCCCTATACCTGTATATGTCCCTATACATCTCCTGTAGCCCCTACTTTTCTTCCGTGTCGCCGTGTCGGTAGCCCCTTTCATGGTATGAGTAGCCCCTAGCCCAGGCTCCTAGACCCTAAACCCTAAACCCTAAAACCCTAAATTCTAAACCCTAAAGCGCATGTGAAGAGGTTCCAGGGATGGTTGGTGTCCAGGCCGGAACTCTCGAAACTAGGACCCTCTCAACAGGGTTCAGGGTTTAGGGTTTAGGGTTTAAAGTGGCGAATGAAATGGAAACATATATGTACACAAATATATATATATCTCTATATATATATATTTATAGTCGTGTACATATATGGGATTTATAGGGATATACAGCGATATTACCCCAATAGTGGAGAATCAAATGCTAACGAACATGGAAAATTAAATGAGAAACTAGGGGTATAGGGGTGCCATACAGGGATCCAAGTATCTAAAATTATACCTACATTGGGCCCAAACTGTCACCGCTTTTGATGTTGCATGCCAACGGTGGGAGTCCTTCTCGCGATTTGCGCCGCGATTTGCGCCGCGATTTGCGCAGCTGTCATTGTTTTTGATGTTGCAGATCTTAAAAGTGCCGATAGTCACAGAGATGATGCCTGGCGGTCAGGGGAGAGAGAAAAGCATACATGCCACAAAGAAAGACCCACAGTCCACAAGGGAAGGGAAAGATCTCACTCCCTCCAAGCAGAGAGCATGTTTGAGAGGGCAACACCATGAGCCTTACAAGTGCCCTACATATCTCTTTAGCATCCTAAAGCCTCACACCCATGCACACCCACCAGAGGTAGGGAGACAACCCTTCCAAAGTCCCAATGGTACCCCTGTAGAGCCAATCCTCCCAAACCACACCCACGGGAAATCTCACCCCCAACCCAAACACACGCACAGGGTTTGAAATCAAGCCGCCACAAAGACCATACCATGCAGGCTAATCCACCCAACCCTGAACCACACCCACATACCAAAAGGAACGGGTCCTTGATGTAAGCAAAAGCAGGGATTATACCATCGGGGGCGCCTTGGCGACAATGCAGCATGTATTCCTATATACTCCTTGTCTTTCCTTGTATAGCCCTTGCATATATCCTCTATATCCCCTACATATCCTTTATGTACCCGCTTGAAGGGGTAATACATCTAACTGCCTAAGAGATTCGACTCCGCCAAAGGGTGCAAGGCCCAATGTCCCAGGCCGCGTCATAGTAAGAACGATAGTAATAGCATGTATAGGGTATATGTATATAGATAGGATGTTAGATACGGGGGATATATAGGGGTACAGAGGGATGTTATGGATTATGCAAGGGTAGCTTTCTGGCAATAGCAAGCGAATTGTAATGTTAAAAATCATAGCACTAGGAATAGTCAAAGCAGGAGTTCTAGGAATGGAATAGCAGTAGCAACAGTAATAGTAGTAGCAATAGTAATAGTAATAACAACAGTAATAGTAATAGTAATAGTAATAGCAATAGTACTAGTAATAGTAATACACGTTGGTAATGGAGGAGCGAATGGACAAGAAAAATAGCATGAAACGCAAACTATGGTTATGCAGGGGTCGTATAGGCGACTCTAGTAGTAAATAGCAATATTATGGGGGTTAATTGGGGTCCCCTTGATGGGGGTATGTAGGACCTTGAAGGAGGATTATGGAATTGTGGTGTGCATGTCGGGTCCCTTTGTGTATGAGAACCCCATTACCCAGGAATGATGGAAAATCAAATGGAACATGAAATGGATATTATAAGTATATAGGGAATATAACCTGGGCACGCTAGCCAGCTCTAGCAAGAAATCTGTTTTGTAGACTATGCTTTCGTTGAAGAATCTTGCATCGCTTCTGGCTGCGGAGTTGTGACCGGTGTCCACAGCTTTAGGAGTGAACAAATGGCCGTTTGTTTTGAGAATGCACCTGCTTCTGTAAGCTGTCTTGCTTCCTGCCCTCCTCTTAAGAAGATGCTGCACAGCACCTTACATTCTTTTTGATGTAGGGCATGATTTCCAACGCCTACATGATGGCTATACCATGGCTGCAGCGGCCCGAACTTGCGCGCCACGCGAAACTCACATTCTGCTTGGAGGGTCATGGGAACTTAAGTAGTGGGTTATTGATGGATACTATATGGCTTATAGGGTTATCAACCTACTTACTAAGTCCCCCTGACCCTAAACCTCACACCCTAAATCCCTAAATCCCTAAACCCTAAACCCTAAACCCTAAACCCATACCCAATATAACCCTATAACATGGTAGACCCTCCAAATGGTAGCTGAGTCGCCAAAGCGGCTCAGGTCAGTCACTGTTATATAGGCATGATATAGAAATTATATGTGACAATATAGGGATAATATAGGGTTATATAGGGATAATGTGGGGATAGCTTTGGGTTATATAGGGATGATATAGAATTTTCTAGGACCATATAGGATACGGTAGGGTAATATGGGGTTATGTAGGGTTAAATAAGGGTTAGATAAGGGGTGTAGGGTTTCGTACTTTTATTGCGGCTGCTCAAAAGGTTCAACCCTTTCATCACTCAGCTGAAATCTAAAACAACCTATATAGCCCCTCATATAGCCTGAAATAGTGGTTTCCATTTGCTTTTCCATTATCCCTAGACAACCCTATTTAGTCCCTCATATAGCCTTAAACCTTACATCCCTCGCATAACCCTATATTACCCTCCATGATCTTACATTATCCTATATTGTCCTATATATTCCTATATCATCCCTATATAACCCAAAGCTATCCCCATATTATCCCTATATAACCCCATATTAGCCCTATATTATCTATATAGTAGCTACCCCCCTCAACCCTAACTCCCTTATCTAATCCTCAACCCTAAACCCTAAACTGAAAAGCAGTGAACAGCAGAAGTCTGAGGTCAGCCCTGGGCTTTCGAGAGACGTCGGGGGGCAAGGCCTTCCTAGCCAAAAGCACCCGGATGTGTTTTAGGGTTTTGGACCTGAGGTTGTTTGTAATGGCTTTTGCAGACCCATGCGAGGACTAGCCATTACTTCGGCAAGTTGTGAGGCCTTAGGACACAGTCACGTGCAGCTACTTCAGATCATCTGGTCACGGGCAGATCACAAGCTTTCTGATAGTCCTTGTGATACCGGCAGAACATCATCAGTTAAAATTGCCCATTGGTATGACGCCGTTGAGTCGGGATGTTCAAGAGCAGCCGTCTACAGCTCGAATTGAACGGCATGGTCATCACGAATTGACACGGGCAGGCAGTGGCAGTGGCAGGCAGGTGTGTGAAAAGGGGGCATGGTTGGCCCATTGGCCAAAGTAGATTGAAGCAGTGATTGCCATGGACGTTCTGGCGCGTGCGTGCGCCTGGCTTTGCCAGCCCCATACAGCCCAGGCCGTGCTGTTTGGGTCTATTGAGCGTTTTGAATCAATCGAAGTTGCTCTTGTTCCCTGCGAGGTGCAACAAGCTCAGCAAGTTCAGCAAGCTGTTTGCTTCGAAGTCTGCCTGGGGGTTTCGCCTGTGCCACCACCACCACCACCAAAGCCGCTATCCCTGAACACGTCCATGATGCTTCAAGCCAAGCTCCCCCCTTTCTTGTCGTTGAAGGATGTCCTGGCACTTCGGGCCAGCTGCATCTCCTTCTCAAGGACGAAAGTGTTCCATCTGCTGCTCAAGTACTGCTCAAAGGTTTCAGTCCGGAAAGCGCTTGAGAGTCATCAGTCCGCAGAGAAACTGGTGCTGAGTCCCTGGCAACCACCGGTCCCGGGCATCCCGGGCATCCCGGGCAGGAGGATGAAGAGCAAGAAGCCTAATGGAACATTTTCATGCTGTTGCGGGACGTGCTGCCCGTCCAACAGAGACAAGTATCGAGGCAGTGGATGCTTGGATTGCAACCCACGGGACATTTACCTGGAGCCCCTGTTCGGAGTTCTCTGCCGTCCGGTGATCTGGGCCGCAGGTGAAGCCGGCCACAGCATGTTTCTTGTCGCAAGAGCAGTTGTGTTCCATCTTTTTGCTGGTGTTTTGAGTGCACTATAGTAGTGGCATGAATCTCAAGCGCGTCGTGTACAACTGCATCCGAGTCCCAAAAGGTACTAAACATTAAGGCTGTGCTGCGACACTTGCGACATGTAGCATGCACAGCCTCCTGACCTGGCAAGGTCCAAAGCACCACATGCAGATGAAGACAGCTATGAGAGAGGTCGCCAGTGGAACGGCATACAATCTTTTTTGTGGGGAATCGGACACGTTGCTGCAGACCTTGTGCTTGCTACATTGACTGTAGATCGATGTGTTTTGTTGATATGGCCAACCTGTGACATGCGAAAGACCGTTCGTGCGGCTGAGGAAACCTGGAACGCTGCTGCTGGGGCACAGGGCGCTTACATGAGACCATCGACAGCGGATGGCGCCGTCCGCCGGTCGACGAGCACGAGATTCTTCTGTGAGAGGTGAAGCTAGCCTCTTTCTAATTACGCAGAATCCTTTCGTCACGAAGCAATTTCAACACCAGAACCGCGAAAAACGTGGTTCCGGGATGTGGCAAAAGAGAGGCTGCGACAAAAACATGAAAAAGCGACTTGTATCGTTCCCCTGAAAGCCTCTTACGACAGGCTGCATGATGGGCGGCAAGCGCCGTTAACAAACCAGCTTGTGCCCACCAGGCCCTTTCCAGTTACAAATGCAAGACACGGAGTCTGAAGTGTGGAAGGTTACTCCAGCCAACCTGCTCTGACCGAAGCCCCTGCCATCTCCTTACCCTGCTTGAACTTCATGTTCGCCTTCTCATGCGCCTTTTTCATTGCGCCTACCCAAGGGATCCTAAGTAGATATGTTGGGGATACTAAGCCATACCATATACCCAATTCCTAGCATAGAAGCCCTACCATATACCATCTAGGTACTTTGGATCCTTTGCGTTTGATACTAAGCCGTAAACCTTAAACCCTACACCCTAAACCCTGAACCCTATCATAGAGGTACTAAGGAACCTTTTGCTTCTCTACCCAAGCTCCTGCGGCTTCAACCTGCCAGGCGTGGCAGTTTGTGTGGACCAAAGATAGTCCAACGCTTCTTCAGGCCATGGCAGCATGACATGAGCCATAGTCCAAACTCCTAGTATCCCCCTTAATAACCCCTAGAATAGTCCCCTAAATAGACCCCCCCCTTTTAAAGGAGTTCAGACTCTAGCTCACATGGTTCCCTGGATTCTGGGTAGAGAGTTGGACATCTGTTGCCGGTGAGGTGTCAGTCTCATCAGTTTCGTATCTTCAGTGGGTTCATGGCCTGAATAGGCATAATGCCAACTGCGATGCGGTTCCTGCGTTATCTCTGTTACCCTAAACCCTAAAAGCTGTGGCTGCAGGAAGCCATTGCCGAGCTGCAGCCATCCCTTCGTGTAGCGACGTGAGCAAGTGACTTTAGGATCATGCCAGTGATGCCGGTGAGGCTTCACCTCTGGTCGCGCGTAACACAGGGGCCTAAATAAAAACCAATATGAAAGTATAGTATAATGTATTATAGTATATTATAGTATATTATGGTAAATTATACTATATTACGGCCTCAATAATTACCAATATTATGGTTTTATATTTATTCCTTGTATAACTATAGTATATGGTACCTCAAATGGACCTCAAAATGATGTTGGTAATTATCTAGGCTATTGTCCCAATATATACCCTAATATACTATAGTAGTTTCCATTTTCTTTTACATTATCCCAATATAACCCTTATATAACCCTATATAATATTGGTAATTATTTAGCCCCCCCCCATAGTACTGTAAGCTTGTGGTTGTTCGACAGTTCTCTGCAGTTGGGCTGACGAGGTGCAGTTAGCTCCTTACACTTCGGAAATTGCTTCGAAATGTAGTCCCCTTAAGTAGATAGAATATAGAGTTTAGGGTTTAGGGTTTATAGGGTACAGGCTGCTTAAGTAGATCGAATATAGGGTATATGGGGATCTTACTATAATATACCCAAAGCCATATTCTACCACTTAAGGGACTATAGCATCTCAGCCCATCCATAAGTCATCATGCTCCCTAAACCCTAAACCCTAAAACGATTCTGAAGCGGGCCCAGCAACACGAGTCATGCATGGTCGCGTTTTCTCAGTAGCATCAATACAGGCGGTTGCAAGGCGAGAATTGGTTTAGGGTTCAGGGGTTTAGGGGTTTAGGATTTAGGGGTTTAGGGGTTTAGGGTTTAGGGGTTTTGGATTTAGGGGTTTAGGGTTTAGGGGTTTAGGATTTGTGGGGTTTTGCTTTTGCTGTGGAAGTCTCTCCGTTCTGCAGCCCAACGACACTCGGACATTTCAGCATTGGTGCTGCCTCCAAAACGCAAGGCTGATGCAGCGCAGAACGGATGGGCGGGTGCGTGGACGGTCCCATGCAAGAATCAATACCTACTGGTTCTCAGTAGGGAATGTGGGAATATATTAGATGGGCATTATATGGGGATGACGTTCCCGTATTCCGTGCTAAGAGCCAGCAAGAATACCGTCGGGCCTGAATGTCTGCTGTGAGACCTTCGAGAGTCCGACTGGGGGTCTTTCTCAAAATTAGGGGTACGTCTTTGGGGGTCCCTAAAAGAAGGATTATAGTATTTTGGGGGCTAGATTGTGGTCCCCTTAGTCTGGGAAACTAGCAATTCGCGCGGTCTCAGAATCAGCTGATGACCCCAGCAGCCTCATGCAGACAGGCCATCTGGTTTTAAGTAGATGGCAGGGCTATCTCTTATCTTTCACCTGTCATCCATGTGGGTAGTTCCCAAAATTAGGGTCCCATTTTGTGACCTTGACAGACTAGGTGCCGGAATATAGGTTGTATTATATAACCTATAGCCAACGGGGACTCATAATTTTGAGAACTACCCATGTGCTAGTGTGCACCACGTGCCGCCTGACGCCCTTTCAATTGATCACGTGCTTTTCCCCAGTGGACCTTGACACGATGCCAACAAGTTTGCTTAACACAAATATAATAATCGGATTAGACATCATCATCATCATCATCATCATCATAGTAGTTTTCAAACATTACGAATGCAAATCGTAATATATAATTTTGGTACGCAACTGTCTTTAGAAGCTCCAGCAGGGCTTCGGGCGAATCTTGAACATGCCTTGCTTTGGGAGCAAGCTTGCCAGATGTAGGCATCGGATTGGCAGAAAGACAAAAGCTTTTTGGTAAGCTGCTTTGGCAAAAATGCAGGGATGGTTAATAAATCAAAAGCAACCGTGCACAATCTGGTCGTTTGTTCAAAATGTTGCGTCTCCTTCGTGGTTCCCGGCATTACTACATAGTAATTTTCCGAAATAGGGGGGGCCAGTATAGACCCCAATATACTCTAACCCTTCCTAAAGGCGCGCTAAACTCTAAACCCTAATTTTGGGAAACCCTCAATAGTAGTTTCCATTTCTCAATCATACCCACATATTCCCATATAATCCTAAATCCAAATCCAATCCGATCCTAATATCGGGAAACCCGCCAAGGCTAGGTGGGTTGACCTGGCGTCCTTTTGGGATTACACGTGAAAGTAAGCTTTGTGGAAGCCTGCATGTTTTGCAGCGCAAAACAGGCTTGTAAAGCCTAAACCCTAAACCCTAAATCCTAAGCCCTGAACCCCAAACCCTAAGCCATCGGCCACAGGGACTTGAAGCGCGCGGCTTCGAAGTGGAGAGGTGCATGGCAGCTTGGATTCCCGAGACTACCTACTGTTGATGGATGAAATTTTGCACCACCGTATATTGGGATAATGGAAAATGAAATGGAAACTACGATAGTATATTGGGTATATATTGGGATAATGGAAAACCTACTGTAATAATTCCTAGGACTTTAGGGACTTAAGGTGGTGGTGCAAGATTTCCTCCGTCAACAGTAGCATTCAGACTGCATGGGTCAGCGCTGTCGCCAACACGCTCACGAGACTTGAGATGTTTTTGGGGGCCCCTATATAATCCCTATAGAACCCTAGATACTCCTATAAAGACCAACATAACCCCTATATAATCCCTATAGAGCCCTAGATACTCCTTATAAAACCCAACATTACCCCTATATAATCCCTGTAGAACCTTAGATGCTCCCTATAAAGCCCAACATTACCCCTATATAATCCCTATAGAAACCCTGGATACTCCCTATAAAACTCTACATCGCCCCTATATAACCCTTACATAATCCCTAGGTTCAGGGTTCAGGGTTTAGTTAAGGTTTAGGGTTTAGGGTTTAGGTTGAGGGATACTATGGTATAGAGTTAGATTATACCCCTTTTTTGGGGGTATAGTATTTTCTCTAAAGAATATAATCTTTTTAGGTTCAATCACCAGCACAAACGCTATTCTGTTGAGTCCCGGGAGGCTAAACACCTACACAACTCAGCCTGTTGTGAAGCACAGCGCTGAGAACTTGGTCCGCAGCCTCAGCTGACGTGTGTTTTAAGGAACCTAAATCGAATTAGCACAATATGGGTACGTAGTAAAGAATTTGGTTCCCTTGTTCCCCGAATTAGAGGAAAACCTAAGCCCTTAACCCTAAACCCTAAATAGTAGTTTTCATTTTCTTTTCCATTATTTCTGTATATCCTCCATGGGTCTTCAGATAAGAGAGTTTTTGCTCTGGTGTATTGGGAAATGGGAAGTTCTCATGAGCGTCCAGATTGAAACAGAGTTGACTAGTGAGTTGAGCTGTGACTGATGCCATCCCTGCATGTGACTCGAGCTTCAGCTGCTAAACCCTAAACCCTAAACCTTGAACCCTAAACCCTAAATAGTAGTTTCCATTTCATTTTCCATTATCCCTATATAACCCCTATATAACCTCAAGATTATAGTAGTTTCCATTTTTCCATTATCCCAATATGTCCTCAATATATCCACTATAACCCCAATATATTATAGTAGTTTCCATTCTGTACAGGGGCTGCCAACCCGGCATCTTTTTTGTGATCTCTTGTGGAAGGGTCGTTTGGGGTCCATAGAATTGATTTGACAGAGAGCCATGGGTCTCTTGCAGCGCAGCATTGAATCCTTCAGGCGCGGCTCAGTCTCGAGATGAGACTAGGGTAAGTCTAGACACTGTATAGCAGTGCAGTGTCTATGTGCAGGACGGTGGCCGAAGAGCGCAAAACTGATCCACTTCTTCGTGCTGCAAACTGGATGTTGGTTATCTATCCGTTCTACAACCTTGCAGGATGCCTTGTTGAAAGGATGGCTTTTTGCGCCGAGACTGGCCAATTTTTGGCTATTCGCCATGTTGTAGAAGGAAGTGTGGATGCAGGGGACTAGGTGTGGCGGTTTCTGTGATGCTACACGTTTCCAAGAGCTGCTGGAAACTCGTGATTCCTGCAGGATCCTTGTGTGGTGTGCACTACAGCCGATACCTGGAGTCGCGAAAGAAACTTGGGCGAGCTTCTTAACAGTAGATGACATAC